AAGGTTGGGAAGCGCCGCAAACTGGGGCTTGGGAGAGGGAGGAAGGGAGCTCGGGGCGGGGTGCGGAACCCAGACATGGGGTACCCACTCGTGGGGGGTGGCTGCACAGCGATCCTCCGTGCCCCCCACCTGCTGCCGAGGCAAGGATGCAGGATGCTCCCTCAGCATTAAGGCGATACAAGTGCACTCGTGCCCTTCCCACCTGATTTTTCTGCCCTTTTTTTTTTTTTCTCCTTAGGATGGGGGTGTCTAGGCAAACAATCCTGAATTTATTCTGGCTCCTGCTTCTGCTGAAGGCTGCGTCTTCCTCCCCTCTCCCCCGTGGAAACGACCCACCACCCCTTTCCCTTCCCTTCGGGCTGAACAAAGGACACACCTGCGTGGGTATGTATTCACGTTTTCTTTGCCTGCTGCTGGACTAGTTTATTTGCTGAGCTAAGAATTGCTACGCGCATCATAAATCACTCATTTATTTCAACAGCTGTACCACCAAGCGCTCGGTGTCTTTGGTGAAATAACCCCCAAAGATTTTGCAAGGCCAGCGTGGGGTCTGGAGTTACTTTACGGTTTTGTTTTTGAGCGGCTGCTTGCCAAAGTTCATGGGTTTTGCTCAGTGTCTGAAAAGCTAGTTTTAAAAGTAGGTCTGGGGCCTGGAAACAAAGTGTTAAGGGGTCCTGGCTTTTGTTAGGGTCCACAGATTCGTTTTGCTTAACTGCGGGAAGGCACAGGGAGTCCTTCACCCAGGGTCTCCTCATTGATTTCATTAGCTGGGGAAGCATTCTTAAGAATAGCTGGTCTGTGCTTGGGCCAGAGAGCTTTGTGGTCTGGTCTTGGGCCAGAGAGCTTTGTGGTCTGGTCAGTGATCTCTATCCAGTCCAGTTGCAAGGGCTGTTTCTTTCCTTTTCGTGACCACACGCATACACAGTGACTTGTGTTAGAGTGGGGTGAGGGGGTTTTGGCAGCCCCCTTCTCGTGTGACTTTGATGACATCTTATAGCCTCAGCAGGCTTAAGTGATTCCCACAGCAAGACACACCAAAGTCAGCATGAACTGTGAGTATCTGCACAAGAAACACCCTTGGCTTGAGGCTCTCTACCTCCAGAGATTTGGTAGCTTATGTTTTTCACGTGAGAAAATACTAAATGATGGATATATCCACTGCATTATGATTAAATGTTTTGGTTTGCATTGTTGTAGCTTTTAGGGGCACTTTAAATATAAACCCTGTCAACAGTTTTCCATCCTTCAGAAGGAAATACTTCCTTTCAGCCCCAAATTTTTTTTGCTGTGGCTCAAGGAACATCGTTAGAAATAATAATCCCAAGATTGATAAAAACAGTTGGGTTTTTTTAACCTCAATTCTGAGATGTCCACAGTCATCATCATGGCTAGGCTTCGTGAACGACGTTATGGGGAGGGCTCTACCCACACTTGCTACAAGCGCGCTGATGGCTAAAAAGGCCGATGCGGGATAGGCAAGACCGGCTGCAAAAGGCACAGCGGGAAGTTTTCTTAGGCGGTATTGGCGAGGCACGATTCTTTCTGTGTCGTCAGAAGATGCCCGTTGGCCGCCATTAGCCCACTGTGTGGAGGGCGGAGATGATCTTTGGTTAGGCCACCTTTTCTAGGCCCCTCTCTGTGTGGAGCAAGCAGTGCTCTCCTTGAAAAAGGCTGCTTGGTCATTCAGGATGTTGCCGAACAAGACTGTCATCTCCGGGGTCAGTCTTGAGCGACCAAGGCCTTGAACTGCCTGCATGCAGGGTTGGGTCTGCGACTTCCAGTGCACCTTATCACCTTCCAATTCATCCCTCTCCTGTCACTACAGGACTGTACAAATGTGGATGTAACCTTCATGTCTGGATTTTTTAGGTGAGGCTCAGCGTGCACAGAACTGACTCCACCCTTTACTCCTAAGCTTCATCTGCATGGACCTATAGAGCTTGGACGGTGACAGCAAAGTCCTCAGGATGTAGGTTTAGTTAGCGTACTTCTCTTAGACGGATGGCCTTACAGTGCTAAACAAGCTCCATCTGCCCGGATTTGGAGTTAGAGTTGTCCCTCTCCTAGGATGGTTGCCAGGAGGCTAGTGAGCCCATCCTACCCGTGGACACACTTAGTCTGACCCTTCAGTTGAGACCTGTCTGGCATGGGAGACCCTATCGGAGGCACATGCCACGGCCAGCAGAGCTTGCAACCTCAAAAGGGCACACAAGATTCTCCCCCGCAACAAGGGGGTGTCCGTGGAGAAGTAGTGCACCTGCAGGTTTTGGCATCAGCGAGGGAGGGGTGAACTGAAAGTGAAGTTGGGGTGGCGGAGCTTGTGTAAGCCCCTGCCAGGGTTCAAGCCAGCAGCCGCAAAACAAGACTGAAGTGTGAAAAGCAGAAGCGGCTGGTTGGTTTGGGCTGGCAGCAGCAGGAGCAGTGACTGAGCAGCAGCCAGAGCAAGAGGGAAGTGCTGCTTTTTAATGGCAAGCTCCTGAGGCAGCTACTGTTTGGATGATGTGCGAGTGGTGGTGAATATTGTTTGGGTTTTGAGGTTTTGGGTTTTTTTAATGTCCAATGTGAGCGTTATCTGCCCTTTCCATCCTACTTACCCAGCAAGGCTCTAAATCCCTGGAACAACTGCACGTTGTGTTCCAGTCGCTTTGCACAAGATAAATTTCTCTTTTCTTTTTCCTCTCGAGGGACCAGCTGTGCTAGCCCTGTTGCTGGAACCACCGAGCGTCTCCTCGTCGTGTTTGTTCAACATCTGGGCTTTCACTGATTAGCTGCTCTCGTGACTGACTCTTGAAAACGCTGACAAGCCATCTGTGTCTCTTCCTTTTCACAAGTGAGCGAGGAGATGCTGATGGTTACGCTTGCCGTGCTGTGGAGCAGGAGTAACATCAGTTCTTGAGGACTGATTCAGTGACCAGCCCTCTTAAGAGCAGAAGTTAAGCTGAGATCAGCTTCATTATGGGAGGAAGGCTGTGATTTCCTTTCAGCAGCTTGACTCCGGGCCCTGCTAGCTCCCAGTTTCCTACCTGGGAAGGCAGCGGGTGAGAACCATGAGAACTTGCTTGATGTCTTCTTGGCTTTACAAATCGAGGCCGCATTTTTAATGTGAGAAAAGCCAAACGTGTAGGAGAATTTTTGAAGAAATGGACTTTTTCATGCAAGCAGTCAGGTGTCTGATCTTTTAAAGGTATTTGCCTCTCTTTGAGAAAAGTGAAGTGGCTGCACATTGAACAGTCGTTTCTAATCACAACTCTATGTGTACCGCCTGCACGTTTGAGAGGGTAGTGTTAGTAGCCAAAGCCAGTCAGAAAAAAAAATCTGCTTTCAGATTGTTACTCATCTAAAAAAATGGTGACTTTTTTTTTTACAGCAAACTTAATTGTGTTAGAAAAACATTGAGACAGAAGCTTTAATCAGCCTCAGTAACTATAGAAAAAGTCACATCATTTTTGATGCACTTTCTTGTTAAAATTTGGTTCCTTGCTTCAGAGAAAGTATTTTCACAATTGACTTAGCATGTGGAAAGTGTCACCACCTAAAAAAGGTTTTAATACTACTGCCTTTTTGAATTATGGAAAAGAGGGGAAAAAGAACCTGCTCCTAGTCTCGTAGGACACCTAAGCAGCTCCTGACAATCTCCAGCCTGCTCTTAAATAGATACCTAGTCTTTCTTTGGCCATGTCACTAGAAGAATTTTCCCAACATCTGACAGCCTTTTTTTCTCCATCAGAATTTCTTGCCTCCGCAAGCTGGAAAAATCCCCCCCTTTTTTGCATACCATGAAATCAGCTTCCTCTGAGCATCTTTGTGTCACATGCTTTGCATGTGCTATCTTCTGCTTTTTGATTAGAGGAGATAAAAGGGCTTTTAATAAGTTTTCCTGTATGCAAAGGCCCATGAACTTGTTTTTCCTCATATAAAGCCAGTGATTTTTTTGCTCTGTGCTCTGTTTTGGGAGCTGGATGCTAGGTCTGGTTCTTGTTTCAGTGTTTGCTAGTGACTAGTGGTGTGACTTAAGGGATTTATTCAAGATGGGATCTAGAAACCCTTTGGCTGGTGGGTGCAGCCTAACTGTTTTAGTGGAGTATTCTGAGAACAGGGTGCTGTGTATTTGCTTTCTCAAAAATTAAATGTGAATGAGCCCTTCAGATACTCAGGTCTTTGAATTTCCCCGTCTATTAAATGAAGAAAATACTGCCCGTTTCACAGGGCAAGCAAAGTTTTACTTAAATTAACATTAAGGTCCCCAAAGGCCAACTGGCACTGGTGTTAATGTTCCATCCTATTCAAGATCATGTTCTTTTTTTTTTTCTATTAAAACCTTTAAAAAATAATCAGAATTATTCTACACTTCCCACCACCCCAAATTATTACAGAACCCTTAAGTAGTTTTTGCAAATTGTCCTGTTCTCTAGTGAAAGTGACTTCATCCAGAAATATCTGAAGCAGCCTCAGGAAAGGCAGAAGCTGCTCTGGAGGATGCAGAATCAGGAGAGATGCTGAAAGGCAGGAGGGAACAGCTGTATTCATCTTTTTTCAACATGATGAAGAAAGGAAGTTTGGGGAATTGGCAGTTAAACATCAATTCCTGGAGAAATCCTGCAATGGTTAATAAAACTTTATAAAAGCACCTTTCAAAAATAAATAGGAATAAGCACCTCACTGGTTTTATCAAGGAGAAACAGTGTCAGATCAATCTGAGTTTCTTTGCTGATAAGATAAGGGCATGTAGATATAGAAGTAGTAGATGTTACAGCTGGGTGTCAGTAAGGCTTTTGGCACCATTTCAGCACTAATCTAATGACTGAGATATGTGAGATTGATTAAGCTTCTAAAGGGCATGACAAAACTGGTGGGTGGCTTTGTTCAGAGAGTAATTACAAGTAGCTCACTGCCTAAATGGAAGGATGTACAAAATGAGGTCCTCCTTGGACCTCTGTTTTAAATGTATTATCATTCCCCATTTTCATTTGCCAACGTAACAAAATAGCATACTATCAAATTAGCAGCTGAAAAGGTTTGCAAGTACTATGGAGGGCAGGATTAAATTCAAAACATCTTGAAAACTTGGAGCACTTGTCATGTGTATGTTGCCCTCTAAAAATGATAATTTCAGAAAGGGTACATTGAAGGCACGTCAGCAGAAATAATCAACAAAAAACTTAGCGAGTGAGGAATGACCAGCTGGGTAGCACCTCTAGGGAAGATCATCTGTGCTTGTAGTGGCACAACGATGGCATGCTGTCATGAAGAGCACACATGCTGCATATGCCGTAGACATGGGAACAGAAGTTAGCCTGCAAGACATGGGAAGTAACCCTGTACCTTTCTCAGCATCTACAAAGTCTCAGAAGTTCTGCCTTCCCTTTTGGGGCTGTGCATCAAGA